ATCACACACTGATCGCCAATCCCCATGTATCAATTTGCATATGAAAAAATAGTTTAGAAGATTATGATTTACGACATAATAAATTTTTGTCTGTCTTGCAATAATGCATTGCTCACATGAATTTATTTTTATAGCTTTTACTAATTAATTAATTATTAATAATAAGGCAAAATGTCATTTTTTGTCTCGTATGTTAAGGTCAAGGTTCGCTTTGGTCCCTTAACTTAAAAAATATTAATATTAGTCTCTTAACTCTTGAAAACGCTTCATTTTAGTCCTTTTGGTCTAATTAGCGACGAATTTAGCGATTTATTTGAGTTTTTCTATCGTTAATTAGACAAAAAAAGATTAAAATTAAGCATTTTTAACAGTTATGAGACCACTATGAACTTTTTTTAAAGTTAAGGGACTAAAATGAATCTTGGCGTTAACATACAAGACCAAAAATGATATTTTACCTAATAATAATTATAAAGAACTTGCGTGTACAAGTGTTGTAAGGATGTTTCAATTCATTAGCATATTTGATTTATAATTTTGTTGCTTGTTATAGTATCCAATTAAGAAGGAATTAATACTTTAAGTCTTTAACTACATACTTTTCTAATTTGTTTGTTCTATTATTGAGTCTTTTGTTGAGAAGTTTGTTATGAAGTATAAAATTTAAATTTTGATGTTAATTGGTGTTCAATTATAAATATATGTGTGTGCATGATTGTCAAACTCGTGGGTAGACTCGTACGAGTTTACGAGTCTAGGAAGCAAAAACTAGTAGACTTAGACAGAGAATTTTTTTTGATAGACTCGATTAGACTCGCACAACTCGCATAGAATCACGAGTCTATGGCGAGTTCATGAGTTTATAAATTTTTCTGAATTTTCATTTTTTTTGAAAAAAAAATCCAAAAAAGCCCAAATTCCCCCCAAAAAATTATTTTTTAAAAGAAAAACTATTATTGTATTGCTTGTATTAGGATTAGAAACATATCTCACCTAGTCTATTCTTACGACAAAGTTTCTCCCTCCCTTCATGGATGATGTGGTTGCGTTTGTCTGTCTTTTATTGTGTTTGAGTATGTTGTTGAAATCGATCCTTCGCTGTGCAAGTGTTCTCTTATATGTTTCACTTGGATGCTCCTCATGTATGTTCTTTTGTGTTATGTTCTCTTGTGTAAAGGTGATGCACAATTTCATTACAATGAGACATGCTGATCGCCAATCTCCATGCATCAATTTGCATATGACAAAATGGTTTAGAAGATCATGATTTACGACATAACAAATTTTTGTCTGTCTTGCAATAATGCATTACTTACATGAATTTCTTTTTATAGTTTTTACTAATTAATTAATTATTAATAATAAGACAAATGTCATTTTTGGTCATGTATGTTAATGTCAAGGTTTCGTTTTGGTCCCTTAACTTAAAAAAGATTCATATTAGTCCATTAACTCTTCAAAATACTTCATTTTAGTCATTTTGGTTTAACTAGCGACAAATTTAACGATTGATTTCTAAATTTTTCTATCGATAATTAGACAAAAGGATTAAAATTAAGCATTTTTAAGAGTTATGAGACCAATATGAACCTTTTTTAAGTTAAGGGACCAAAATGAATATTGGCGTTAACATACAGGACCAAAAAGGATATTTTTCCCAATAATAATTATAAAGAACTTGTGTGTACAAGTGTTGTAAGGATTTTTCAACTCATTAGCATATCTGATTTATAATTTTGTTGCTTGTTATAGTATCCAATTAAGAAGGAATTAATACTTTAAGTCTTTAATTGTATATTTTTCTAATTTGTTTGTTCTATTATTGAGTTTTTTGTTGAGAAGTCTATTATTGAGTTTTTATTGTGTGTGTGCGCACGTGTGTGTGTGCGCGTGCGTGCATGCGTACGTGTGTGGGTGTGTTATTTTCCGGTTTGTAAATATATGTGTGTGTCATATATATGTGTCACTTACATGTTTTTGAAAGTCATTTTTAATTTTCCATATACTCATACGAGTTTGCAAGTCGAGTCTATAGACCCTTTACGAGTCTGAGTAGACTTACGAGTCTAACAACCTTGTGTGTGTCATATATGTGTCACTTACATGTTTTTAAAAGTCATTTTTAATTTTCCATGGACTCATACGAGTTTGCGAGTCGAGTCTACAGACTCTTTACGAGTCTGAGTAGACTCGCGAGTCTAACAACATTGATCATTACTTGTGTCACAAGTTAGTCGGTCATCCCATTGTGTGTCGCCTTAATCCTGAGGAGAAAGTGCTTGTTTCTGACAAGATATTGAAATGCAACAACTATTGAAGCTTCTGGATGATGAACATTATGTTTCTAGGTACAAATTGTATGAGAATGAATTCACTGTTTGAGATATATTTTGAACTCATCCTGATTCCATCAAGTTGTTAAACACATTTCCATTGTGCTTATAATTTATTCAACATACAAAACAAACAAGTATAGACTTCCACTTATAGAAATTGTTAGTGTTACTTCGACGGAGATGACTTTTTCAGTGGGTTTTGCATTTTTGGAAAGAGAAAAAGAGGACAACATTACACGAGCTTTATAAGTGTGCAAGACTACATTAAAGGACTAAGAAAATATGTCAAGGAACATTATAACCGATCACGATACCACACTGATGAATTTGTTTGCAAAGGTATTTTCTACATCTTATATGTTACTTCGTAGGTATCACATAATCAAAAATGCGAGAAATAGACTTAAACCTATAGTAGTTACCAAACAAATCAAAGGTAAAAATGAGAAAATAGTTAAAGCTAATGTGGTAGTGAAAAGAACAATGGATGTCTAAAATGGTATTGTAAGTTCTTCCATGAGAGATTTATATGCATAATTTGTCATATAGTTTATGAGGGATTGCGCGAGATATCTAAATTCCTAAAATATGTTGAGAGCATAATTCTAGATCAGGTGAAGGAGAAAATTGTTTGTGCTTAGACCGATCAAGTTAGACATTTTGATAATACAACAACTAATATAGTTGAATCTACACATGCTACACTAAAGAATTGGTTGAAAACAGTAAAGAGGATTTTTGTAGAGGTTAGGATTTCGTGAACCAAATGATTTGAAATCAACATAATGAGATACAAACATCTTTTGGTCAGAGCATTAACACTGATTCAAAGACAACATATTTTATTCACAGTTGGTTGAAAACATCTCTGAGACGAGATTAAATTTTATTTATCACGAAGCCAACCGAGCAGAAAAAACAGGATCAAATGGGTCAAAGTGTGATTATACACATAGGAATATGTACGATATTCCATGTGCTTGATTAATTGCAAACAAAATGAAGGTCAATACATCGATATGTATGGATGAGATTTACACTCACTAGAAAAGACTTCAGTTTAACGATGATGGTGTGATGAAGGATGATAAATCAAACATGTCTATCATATGACCGAGTGGAAAGTGATCCAATAGATATTCATGAAAATTGATGAAAACATGAAATCGCACATAAAGAGCGGTTGAGGAATATTACATATCCTAAAATCACAAATTTGAAACCACCTTTGGAATAGATTAAAACAAAAACTGTCCCTAAAAAGATCAAACCGACCAAGAGTGACAATTCTACAAAATGGTCCCCTTGTTACTTTGAACATGTCGACTCACATTATCAAACCATCTCTCTCACCATTGTTACCAAAAACCATTCACATTGAAAAAATGCCACTTTTTATGCACAAATACAATGAGCAGATTGTAGATGTTAAAGGTGGCAACAACTGTGATTTTTTAGTTGTTTTAGGTTTAATCGATAAAGGAGATGAGAACCGCACATTTGTCCACCATCAACTTATACAAAGGCAGACGATGCATAGGGAATCATACATATAGATATATATAAAAAAATATGATGCAATTCTCAATGCTCTTGTTTTTTGTGTTGATGGAACATCTTATAACAAGTGATTATGATAGGGTGTGTATCAATCTGACAAGATATGGTTTCTTGAGAACATTTTTTCTACTCTAGAATAGACCACCTCAAAATCCATTCGGACGCATCATATGTATTAGGTGGTCACCATATTTTGTTCAAGTTTATTTGAACTCAAAGTGTTCTATACCAAAAACATCACTTGAGTGAACAAGTGGGTTAATACATGGTAATAAATTTCCTTCTTTAATATGTATATTCCTTGAGTTAATACATTGTCATAAGTTTCCTTCTTTGATATGTATATTCCTTGAGTTAGTGTGAACAAATGGCTATTTTAAAAACTATTTTCGTTTCTCAATGGGATCACTTCCTTTAGAACTAACACTGTTACAAGTAAACAATATAAAATTTCAAGCATCTCTTTCAAGCTTCAAGCATCTCTTTTAATTCATAATTCAGTTTGGTTTATAGGCACCCATCTGTGGGAATCAAATGCCCAACTATGGGTGTCTCTTCAAATTTCTTAACCAAAATTTGGTATAAGTCACTTCATAAACTTACAGTTCAACAACCAACGTAGAGAAGAGACACGCTTCAGAAAGTCTATCTTATAAAAGTGTGAAAAGAGATAGGCCCAGAATTTATAGAAACAACTGAAACATCTCATCTATAAATGAATATTATGTTAAGTATCATGCTTGATTTTTGTTTTCTTATTTATTAAATCTTGACCTCAGACAAAATCGTAAACAATTTTGGTAATAACAAACATAACATAAAGAACAAAAAATGCATATTTTTATTAAAAGTGTATCGGATCCGTTTTCAAACCAAATATATCAGTTAACTACTCAGTCCAGTTTTCTGGGCAAACTTATAGACCACCATTGATACTACTCAACCCAATTATATTAATAAGATAAAATTTCATATGATGGGTAGATAAATGGTTGCACCATGAAAAATATTACAACGGTAAAAAATGAAACAACAAGTGGCTGCCGAAATCAGATGTGATTCTCAATAAACAACAATGTATCAAACTAAATGAAATAGGTTCACTTATCTAGGAGGCGAAGGCGGTGGTGGAAGGTTCGATTTTGCTAACCCCACCCATGTAACAATGCCAACAGCCAAGATTATCCATCCAAGTATGTCATACTTCAAATCGCTGTCCTTCTTTTTCTTTTGAGTCTGAAAAAAATAACCAAATAAATTAAGTGAAAAATGAACGACAACGTAAAATATGAAGAACAGAATCTCCATCTCCATTTTAAAATATCAACCATAAGGCGTGTATTTATCAGAAAGAAATAACAGACCAAGATCCAATAATAAACCAGACAGAAGAAGTATTGATCTCAGGAGAAAACTGAAAAAAAAAAGTTTTTGTTTTACATTTACTATGGAAAAGAAAAGCATTTATTGTCTCCACCAAAAAGGCAAATTCACTTGGATACATATTCAATCTAAAACACAAAGATACTAGCAATGGAATGAAAATCTAAAACACATACACTAATTACAGAATCAAGATATATCAATTAGGTGCACTAATGGTAGAATCTACAAACTCATTGCAGAAAATGTGTCCAAAACACCAAAAGTCACCTAATTCCTCTATCTTCATTTTAAAAAATGAATTTAAGGCAGGAAAAAAATTAACATTTGAAGAACATTAATTTTGAAGGAAAAAACAATGAACTCTACTCAACTCTTTTATTTCATTGCAAAAACACTTCTTGAATGTGTCTGCCATCATAGAACATTCCAATTCCACAACTAAAAGAATATTTTAACTTATGTTGTATGTCTCATTGCAAAAACAGTTCATTAACATTGTCTTGCAACTGTACAATTGTATTGCATTTACCGCACAAAGAAAAACAATAGCAAAGTAAAGAAAAACACAGTAACTTTTATGTCGTTACCTTTGCACTAGAAGATGAAGAAGGCCCGGCCGACCCTGCTGATTGCTGACCTAATCCATGCTTATGGATTTCTACATGTAGCTCGGGAGCCTTAAAAAAGGTATCAGTAAATGAAAAGGTTCAGTGACAAGTTTAAGTCAAAGTTATTTCTTTAATGAAAAAGCAAGATTATAAAGCAAGAAAGAATGCACGAGAATGAAGAATTAAATACCCTCCCAAAAGACCAAACTACATAAAACTATAAGAAATATAGAGAGGGGGACGGCTTAGCTTAAAAGAAACACAACAGCTCCAAAAAGATGTCAACAATACAAAAGGGAACAAGAGAGAGCAGTAGGGTGGTGGAACACAAGAATGAGGGTTCAATTTCTTAACAGGGAGGAAGACCAAAACCCTTACAATATGATACAACAAAATCATTGCATGACAGAACATACCTTAGCAGCGACTTCCAATGATTTGCGGTAAAGTTCATTCGAAGGATCCTATATAAAACAAATACCACTCTGTTACACTGTATTTTTACAAATCAACGAGTAAAATACTTCCCACATTTCAACCATACATTTATTGATACTGACCGAACTAAAACTGTACCTCATCAACGGCTTGTTGAAAGTACACAGCTGCCCTGTCAAAATGAACTTTAGCTTCATCTGGGTCTGGGTTTAAAAATGCTTGTGAAGTGAGAGCATTTCCCAGGCACCAGAGGGCATCGTGCTTGATGGGATTCAAAGAAATGGCCTCCTCCAGCTTCGAAATAGCCTCTGCAAATCAAATTTTCCAAGTGAGAAATCCACAAAAAAGTTCGAGAATATCCATCAGATAAGTTGGAGTCCCAATATGATGAGCCAATGCAGTCAACTAAAACCATTAGATACAAGATTGCACAACTCAAATTCTAGTCCTCGTAAACCAGACTCAAAATACAAACTCAAAAAATGATCCGTCCAATTGTCATCCATCTGTTTCAGTTAATGGACAGCAAAGATAAATAGATTCTCCCATGTCAAAATTGTGAATATATATCTCTCTTAGCCATTACAAAATTGCAGCTGCATCCTTATCAAAAGTCATAAATATTTACACCGAAAGAGAGCCAATACCCAATTCAAATTTCACTAGATATGATCCTATAAAGTTTTAATCCGAGATCCATTACCCCCACATCATTTTAATAAAAATCCCGCACTTCACATCTTCTACGAGTTTAAAGACAAAAATAAAACAAAAATGCCCCCCTCTAAATCACAAATTCAAACATGACTCAAAATGCATTAAATAAAAAATCTCATATTTTCTCTCTAAAATAATGCAAAAAAAATCAATTGAAATAAACTTAGAGCATCTAGAGTAAAGTAAGCACCTTGGGTCATCTTCTTTGATTCTGGAAAATTCTGAAACTGAGACAACTCTAACAAAGCTCCACCCCATCTTGTCAAATTCTGCAGATTCAAAAAAACAAAAATTATACACGATTTCCAACACCAAGACTCATCCATGTGTACCAAAAAAATCAAGCACTAAATTTCCAACACCAAGACTCATCCATGTGTACCAAAAAAATCAAGCACTAAATTTACAACACCGAGGCTCACCCATATGCACCAAAAAATCAAACACTAAATTTCCAACACCAAGACTCATCCATACGTACCAAAAAAATCAAACACTAACTTTCCAACACCAAGACTCATCCATATGTACCAAAAAAATCAAACACTAAATTTCCAACACAACAACTCATCCATATGTACCAAAAAAAATCAAACACTAAATTTCCATCACCAAGAGTCATCCATATGCACCAAAACATCAAACACTAAACTTCCAAGACAACAACATATCTATATGTAACCAAAAAACATACACACAATTCTCTTAGCAGAAACTCATAGTATGTACCCAAAAAAAATCCAATTTTGTAACACAATTCTCTTCCCAGAAACTCATACATATGTACCCAAAAAACTTCCAAATTTGTAACACAATTCTCTTCGCAGAAACTCATACATATGTACCCAAAAAAATTCCAAATTTGTAACACAGGAACTCATCCATAAAAATTCTACAAAAATTTTCACATAGCAACACATTCATGTATATCAAAAAATCATCAACAAAATTACCAACACAACAACTAATCCACGTCTACCAAAAATTATACACAAAATTCCAAATGCAACAATTCACCCATAACTGTACAAAATCATCATCAACAACAACAACAACAAAAACAGATTTATCTACACAATCACCAAAACAGAATAAATCAAACAAAAACGAATCGACCCATCAAAAGAAATTTCTTAATTTCACAAAAAAATCAACGATTGTTAAAAAAAAATGAATCTTTTTAGGAGGAAACAGATACGAACATCAGCATCGAGAGGGTTGGCAACGTATTCAGCTTCAGCGGTTTTACGAGCGTGCTCGAAGAACAAAAGGCGGTCGAAATCGTTGGATTGCAAATCCATGGAATCGCCTTCTTTGTTTTTCGGTTTTTAGGGTTTTGGGTTTTGAGTGTTGTTTCAGATTATAAGGACTGGTGAGCAGTGATAAATGGAATTTTCGCCTTTTTTTTTGGTTGTAAATTAGAGTTGATTTTTTATTTTAAGAGAGTCTAATGAGAATATTTTGATTTAGAGTATTTTAATTATATAGTCTACAATGTTTAATTACATTAATTTAAAATATTTAGATCTGATTGAATTCTTAATTAGCATATCTCACAGTTTTATTATAGTACTAATTATAAATATTTGTTAGCACAGTTTTAAGAAAATAAATTGTATATTTACTAGTCATTATGTAGAGAAATAAAATGACAAACAAGTATGTTCCTGAGAAAACACAACTCTTTATGGTATCAGAGCTCTGATCACCCGAGTGAAGGTTGAAAAATGTCAGATTTTGAGATGCACTCGAATCCGACAGACAAAAACAAGGAAGAGAAAGTATCTTCGAGTCAAGGAAGCAAAAAAGTGTCTCCCCATGACTTGAACAACGACAACCCAGGAAACGTGATAACCCAAGTTCAGCTTCGAGGTGAAAACTACGACAAATGGGCACGTGCTGTGAAAACTTCTTTGCGTGCACGAAGAAAGTGGGGATTCATCAAAGGAACCGTGACAACACCGGCTGAAAACTCGCCTGAAATGGAAGATTGGTAGACAGTACAGTCCATGATTGTTTCGTGGATACTTAACACGGTTGAACCCGTCTTGCCGATCCACCATATCCTATACAGAAACTGGAAAAGAAATGTGAGAAGACATAAAGGAAAAATTTTCAGTTGTGAATGGACCCAGAATATAGCAGTTAAAGTCTGATTTGGCTGGTTACAAGCAAGGCAAAATGACGGTGGTGACATATTATGGAAAGTTGAAAATCTTGTGGGATGAATTGGGCAATCACGAGAAAAATCTCACTTGTAGTTGTGGTGGATGCAAATGTAATATTGCATCAAAATTAGAGAAGCAGAGAGAAGAAGAAAAGGTATATCAATTTCTCATGGAATTGGATGATGTAACTTATGGTATTGTACGGTCGAATCTCTTAATAACGGATCAGTTGCCCTCGCTAAATCGGGTTTACTCGACTCTGGTTCAAGAAGAAAGGGTGAGAACAACCACTAGAAGAATAGAAGATAGAGGTTAAGTGATGGGGTTATCAGTTTAAACTGCTGGAATAGGAGTGAGAGGTCGAGGAAGTCCCACAAATAAGTCTGCAATGTCTTGTACATATTGCAATAAATTGGGTCATGATTTTAGAGGTTGCTTTCAGCTTGTAGGATACCCTGAATGGTGGGGAGAAAGACCAAGAATTGATGGAAAAAATGGAGGATGCGGCTGTTGTACCCCAAAATTTGCCCTCTCATGTTTTCCAAAGTCTTCCCCCTGCATGGTTGACCAGAAACCCTTGCTTAAGGAAAAAGAAAATTTTTGAGTGGTGCTTTAAGTACCTTTCGATTGGAATTCTGAAAGACCCTTCGATTGGTATTCTGAAGGAGCCTTTCGATTGGCATGGGTAATTCCCTTCGATTGGCATTATGGACAAGCACTTCGATTGACAGTCCAAAAATGCTTCAATTGGCATTATGAACAAGTACTTCGATTGACATTCCAAAAATCCTTCGATTGGCATTATGGACAAGCACTTCGATTGGCATTGTGTCAAGGCCTTCGATTGGAATTCTGAAAGACCTTTTCATTTGGCACCCTGGGCCAAGCCTTTCAATTGGCATGCCACAGGATCCTTCGTTTTAGCATTGTGTCAAGGCAGCTTCGACAGACATGTTAACCATATCCTTCGATTAGTATGAACAACATCTTTCGATTGGCCTGTTAACAAAGCCTTTCGATTGGAATTTTAACAAGTACCCTTTGATTGGTATATGGACAAATACCCTTCAATTGGCATTTCAAAAGGTCCTTGGACTGGAACTTCAGAGTGTCCTTCAACTGGAACTTCATAGTTTCCCTTAATAAGAACATCAGAACGAAATGACCTTCGAATGGCATTTCAGTGCAGAGTTTCTCTTAATCTAAGATGCTCTGATGAAGGAAGTTCTGAACACTTTGAATCAGAACTTAGACTCATCACAAGGCCAAGGGCTGGTCGAAGTTGTCTAATAGGGAATGTTCTAAATAGATTCGAATTGGACTTTGAAGCTGGCAAAGAAGGGCCATTCGAAGAACATACAGTTGGTCCATTCGAAGGGCACACAGCTGGTGAAAACGAATGCCGTATTGTCCTAGTCTGGTCGAAAGGTGTAGAAAGATGGAGGATTCGACTCAAAAGATCAAGTTGAACATTCAGACCCATAGGCTAGGCCACGTGTCTTCCCTTTTTAGGCATGTACCCATTTGCTGTCTAAGACCACTTGCACTTAATAGCACAGTACTACCTTTTACGAAAGTCTGTCTTGAGCCTTGCGCCTATTTTCCTTCAGAAGGAAGCAACCTCATCTGAACCATTCATCTTGCTTTTGTGGCACAAGTGGACATTTACTTTCCAGCTGGGCCTTATTTTATTATTTTCTGCACCCCAACTGCCAACAGGCTCCCCACATGTACTGTCACATTACATTATTTTATCATTTATTTGCAAGGTTGGCTGTGGACAACATGTCCATTCTTTCTCTATAAATAGAGGAATTGTTGCAAAGCTAAGGGAGGATCTTTGGACCAGAAGAACAAATCTCCCAAATTTTCTCAAACACAACAAATCTCTCAAGTCCCTTCAACACTTGTGAGAACATACCCAGAATCCAAACAACAAATCCAGAACTGCATCCACCTGCCTAACACCAGAACATCAAACCTGTGTTACAAATACAAGCCTTGAGGCCTACATAACCTCAAAACCTGCCTTCCTTACCAAAGCCAGAAAACTCAAGCCAATTCAACTGCAACTGCAAACAAACCTGCCTAAAGCCAGTCCAACTGCAACTGCAAGCAGACCTGTATCAAAACTAACAAAAACTGAGACCTGCCTGTATCAAAACTAACAAAAACTCAGACCTGTCTATATCAAACCAAAGAGCAAACACTTATCCCCTTAGAATCTGAAACATCCTTATACCTTGTTACCCTTTAAACCCAGTAGGAAGAACCTCACACTTATCCAGTATCAAAGACATAACTCCTGGTTTCTCCCTTCGAATCGAGAAGCATTCAAGGAAACCACTTAAAGGCCCAACACACGTTCCAGCCTCAAGCAAGGTAAGTCATTCTTAACCTTGAACCCTTCATTTCTAGCGTAACATGTAAATAAGCTTCCTTTTCGTTTCAAGCATGTACATAGTGTTTGTTACCTTTTCGTTTCCACTCTTTTAGTTTGTTTTTATTGTCTCTCCTTTTGGTTTTGTTCTTTGGTTTGTTACAAATGCCCTAAGAACTAATCTGGCCCTGAGGTAATGATAGCATGGCCTTGGGCCATGTTGCTATTTAATATCTCAAACGAAATAAACAAAAGACAGGAGTATGAAACGAAGCCCCAGACTTCCTCACTGACTCCAGACCCAATCGAAGGATACAGAAAGGAAGATTGCATCTTGCACATATTCTAGGCCCAATCGAAGAAGGCAACAAGGTAGAAAGGCCCACCCAGAGGCACACTTGCACTAAGTATAGGCTCAGACGAAAGGCACTTCCATGCTGGTGCCAGCCTCCAATCGAAGTACATGACTTGACTGGTGCCAAAGCCCAATCGAAGGCCATGACCTCACTGGCGTGAATTCCCAATCGAAGGACAGGACCTTACTGATGCCAGCCCCCAATCGAAGGAGGCCAACAGAATGCAAATCGAAGGGTGCTCCTTCCTGGGTCGAAGAGCTCATTTTCCTTTCTTTTATTTTGTTTTTGCCTTTACATTTTTTTTCCTTTCAATATGGTTGTAATAATGTAGGATATTTATTTCCTGCATTTTTATTGCTTTGTACAAATGCTAGTAATTAGGTGTGTATGGCAAGATAAAATCAACAGTTAGACAACCCAAAAATCAAAGGTAACAATGCATGCAATCAAACACACTTGCACACGTACACCCCTAGGGTAATTCCACTTGTTGCCTTATAAAAATGGCCATGTTATGCATATGGGATGTCTTAGCACAAACGAATCAAAAAAAGATCATAGTCCCTCGATGACGCTATCAAAGTTGCCTTTCAAAATGATCTTAGTCCCTACAGAAAAGTGCTAAGTCATTTCACAACATTGTTATCATGGTCATACGATGATCCGTGCCTGTCCCGTTAACATCCTAACACAAGGTTGTTCACCAAATACAATGGTGAAACAACATTGTTAAAAGGGTTAAAAACATAAGAAATATCTTTGAGTAAAATAGGGTAGACAACTCTTAGTTACTTGATCAAAAATCTTGCAAAACATCCTTGCTATTTTTCAAAACACACTCCACAACACAATTTCAAAACAACTTTCAAAACATTGAAAACCTTCCAAGAAGACATACACCTTTGTATACATTCAAACAAGAATCATTACAAAGGTTGCCTAGACAAGGCATCTTTTTCAAAACATTTTCAAAACCGCACACACAAAGCATCATTTCAAACAATTGAAAAGCAAAGGCAAGTGATCTAAAACAAGTAACTAAGAGCCCATGGATAACCATGGATGAAAAGGGTGCTAGAACCTTCCCTTTTCATAATCTACCCCCCAAACCCACGAAAACATCTCAAAGGTCTTTCCTGTGCTTTTTGACCTTTCCTTAGGATAAAATAAAAAGTCGGTGGCGACTCTTGCTAAACTGAAACATTTGTGAACACAAACGCAAAAAACCTCAAGTCAGTTCTCCCACCGTATCACAGAACTGGCGACTCTGCTGGGGACATTCTAAAAGTGGGGTTACCTTAGGGTTTTAGATCACCTTTACATGCTTACTTTGATTGCTTTGATTGCTTTACTTTTTGGGTTCCTTGTTTGGGTTTGTTTAATCCTACACCCGGATT